GTATATATATATATATATACTCAATGTTTGCTTGCACACTCACACCCTCTGCAGGATGCGTATAGTTCTCTGAGTCTAGTGCAGTCACTTAAGACTCTGGCAGGAATGGGCCAAACGATTGTGTGCACCATTCACCAACCACGGCCAGATATATTCGATATGTTCGACAATCTGTTACTTATGAAGTCTGGGGAAGTAGGTAGGTCACAACAAACATACGCCTCGCTTTGGTTTGCTTGTACGTATTTATACTTTTAGTTTACACAAACGTATTTATACGTTTAGTTCACATTTCCGTATTTATATGTATTTGCTGCGAGGATTTGTTCTGATTGATTCGTTTGACAATCCGTTGCTTATGAAGTCAGGTGAACTGGGTACGTCTTAGTCAGCATAAAGCCTTCACTTAGTTTACATGTACATGTTTTTATCGTTGCTAAGATAGTGCCTCCTCGTTCCTTTCACGTTATATTTGTGTATGAATGTGTCGTATAGCTATTCTGGGCTGTGTGTACTCATTTCAGTCACTTGGGTGTCTTATCCATTCCTCGTTAGTCTTAAGTCATTTGTGTGTATGAATGTGTCGTATAGCTATACTGTGCTGTGTGTGCTTATTTCAGTTGCTTTTTATTGTTGTCTCGCATTCTCCTTAGTTTTAAGTTATATGTGTGTGTTTATATATTCAGTCACTTGGGTGTCGTCTCGCTTTCTCTCAAGTTTTAAGTTATATGTGTGTTTATATATTCAGTTACTTGGGTGTTGTCTCGCTTTCTCTTAAGTTTTAAGTGATATGTGTGTGTTTATATATTCAGTTGCTGTGGTTTCTTGCACAGATCGTTGTGCGTGATAGCGCTCGGTCATTGCACGTGCATAGTTGAGCAACATACGCTGCTTGAGCATAGGATTCGTGTCCGAAATCCATCTCGTTTACGTATTTATTAATACATGATTAGCGTATCATATGTGTTTTATCGCTGATGGTGGTATTCTCTCTCTCGAAGCCCTAAAACCCCTAAACCCTATACCCTAAACTCTCACTCTCGGGCTATTTACCCAAACACAGGTTATTTTGGCAGTGTACAGCAGATGCCCGATTACCTGTCTAAAATGGGCGTGATAATCCCAAAAGGTGTCAATTCTGCCGATTTTGTCGTCGATTTGACATACGATAAAGAAGCCGAAGAACCCAAAAGAGTCGAAGAAGAACCAGTCGGAGGGGCTTTGAATCGGGTTCGTTATTTTGAAAATATTCTTTGTCGTATGTAGTAAGTGCAGACGTATGCATCATGCACACGCTTGGTTAGTGTTGAAATGGTGTATTCCTGTTATCCCGGGACGTCTACCTACATGTCATGAAGGGATTTCTATTTGCCTGTCATGAAGGGATGCTTACCTACATGTCATGAAGGGATGTTTACCTACATGTCATAAAGGGATGTCTACCTAAATGTCATGAAGGGATGTCTATTTACCTGTCATGAAGGGATGTTTACCTACATGTCATGAAGGGATGCTTACCTACATGTCATGAAGAAATGTCTACCTACATGTCATGAAGGGATGTCTACTTACCTGTCATGAAGGGATGTTTACCTACATGTCATGAAGGGATGTCTATCTACGTGTCATGAAGGGATGTCTATTTACTGTCATGAAGAAATGTCTACCTACATGCCATAAAAGGATGTCTACCTACGTGTCATGGAGGGATGTCTATTTACCTGTCCTGAAGGGATCTGGGATGAACTGTGTATGCATTTATGTGGTATTGTATAGTCAACAGGCTTTAGGGTTCTAAAGTTTAGGGTTTAAGGTTTTAGCCTCTGAAGTACTGTTTTGTACCAAGGAAAGCGTCATCCGAGGGTGTAGTTCTCATTTGAGCGCTGATAGTATCAAGTACAATGATTTAACTTTTGTGTATTTGTCCGAAGTCGGATTTCATACGACCGTCACCCACTAGCACATGGGCAAGGGGCTCACTTCTATGTGTATAGGGGTCATATGTATGTACCACATCACTGTGATATATTCTGATTATCCACAACATTTGGGTTACTTTAGCGGAGCCTTGAACGTCTAGTCGAGAATAGTACATGAGTGTCTGTATGCACAGTTGTTTACAGGTATACTCCTCTGGTATATTCTTTCAAAATATAGATTGGTATATAAATATATATATATATATATATATACGTGTGTCTGTGTGTCTGTGTGTCGGTCTGTGTATGTATATATATATGTGTGTGTGTATGTGTGTGTGTGTGTGTGTGTGCGTGTATGTATGTATGTATAAGTGTATGTATGTATATG